TGGTTTTGGCAGTATAGGAGGGGTGATGTATAGTCAATCTCCCTCATCTACATCTTCTCTGTTAATTGCATTCGCCATCTATGGTTGCCCTAACACTCCGTAACCAAGGAGGGAACAGTTTTCTATTTTTTTTTTGTATATTCTTGGTATAGCCTATATTTGGTATGTAATCACAGTTGAATATGCCCAACCTAATATATTCAACATGTATGCACACTGTAGAATGAGAAAAAAACTAGGTATTAGCACTTGCTTTTACCATAAACTTTTGATGTGCTAAAATAACAATGAAAAGAAAAATGTTGAAAAGATATATCTAAACTTATCATTAAGGTATTTCAGGAAACAGAATAAATTATGAAAATTCCAGTATAAACACTACATGACAGGCCAATGAAAAAGATGACAACATCTAATTACATGATTCCTAAGCTAGTTGGGCACTGAAGGCTGTGTCTCTATCTTATCACTGTTTACTCAAAAAATAAATAAACGTGCCTTTCTCATGTCTGTCCATATAGACATACATATTCTTGAAAAATATTGGTTCTTCTTAAAGCCATTTTCCTATATTGGTTCTTCTTAAAGCCATTTTCAAAACTTACTAACAGTGCTATAATAACTTAAGAGCACAAACATTTTATATTTATCATAGGATGTAAGTATCTTAGTTACTAAGATACTTATTCTTTCCTATATCTACTCTGTCTCAGCCACACCGCAGGTCATGACATAAAATTAGTCCATTTTTAGGAATATTAAATAGTGAAAACAATTATTTTCTTTCCATAATTCAACATCCTTTCCCTACTATTAAGTCAACTCTTCATATTACCAACACCATTTGCAATTAATAAAAGAATGTTTTGAAACCATTAATATTGAACATTTAACATACATATGGATGCTTATTGGTATTTAAGTAAACATACATATTTCCTATCTTAGAAAACTGAGGACATTCTAGTATGAATGAATACACTCAGTGCCCAAACCTTGCTTTCTTATTTAATTGTCCAAATAAAAGAAACTGAGGGTTGAAATAAGTGAAGCCAAAAAAGCCTAGATTTTTTTTTTTGGTGGCCCAAAATAAAGAAATGCTAAAAAAGATGATAGAAATATATCAAAATATTAAGTTGCCTTGTAGTTCTCAATGACCAAAATCTGGGACAAACTGATCAAATAAACAATGATTTTAGTGAATATATAGAATGAAATAAGAATCCATGAATCCATATTCACAGGTAAACAAGCACATACATAAACAGAAAATGGAAAACTCTTCTTTACAGAATTCCAACTAACAAAGATAGAACAACAGAAATGAAAAAAAATCATCATCTGGTAAACAGCATGGTAATGTTTTCAATCAAGATTTGTCAATGGATGCTACCATCAGTATAACACTGAGAAACTAATATGAAAATAGTGTTATTTATAAAGCCTCAAAGTACCTTTCCACAGTAACTACAAACTACAAATAAGAAAAAAAATTAACTGTTAGAGAAAATGGCAGAGACTCTTCTTAATGAAGTGAGGAAAATAAAAATACCCATAATCCTCCTGATACAGTGTACTAAAGATAACACAACATCAAGTCTACTGAATTCTTGCTAAAAATTTATAATCTGAGTCAATGATAAAGAATAATCAAAAAGATCAGTATTTTTCTAGTGTTAATGTTATAAAAGGCAAACTAAAAGGAGACTAAGGAGATATGGCAACTAAGTACAAACTGTGACCCCAGACACAGTGTAGAAAAATGATAGTATTGGGATAACACAAATTTTGGAAGATTTGCAAATCACATAACACTAACGTCAACTTCCTAGTTTTTATAACTGTACTATGGTTACACCGATGTTACTATTTGGGATATTTGAATAAAGTTTATATGAGAATAAAAAAGTAATAAAAAAAGAAAAAAAGTTTATATAAGAATTGTTCTAATATTTTGTAACTGTTTTATAAACCTAAAATTATTTCCACAAGATGCTTTAAAAAGTTATTAAAATCTGGCCCTCCCTGGTAGCGCAATGGGTTAAAGCACTGCACTAAGAAGCTTAAGCCACTTCAGCATGAGTTCTATCCCTGCCTGCCCGGGAGGAGATCCACATGGCGTGGCAGACCTCTCCTGACCCGCCCGCTGCTCCCCTCTGCAGTGTACTTCGTCGATCTCCCTGTTCTGCTCCCCCCTCTGTCCCTGGTGAATCCTCTCACCCTCCGCATCTCTGGCCTGTACCCCAGTTCTGTATGAATAAATAAATCTTTTAAGAAAAAATCTTATGAGTAAAAAATATACAAAAAACTGTATATACACACTCAGCACATATAAGCAATCAAAAGTTATTAATACCATAGTTCTCCAAGTTATTAAGTCTCCTGATTTCTTACTCATTTATTAAGTACAGTGTCTACTATGTATCAACCAACAAAAAAGGAAGGAAAGGGGAAAGCAAGCAAACCTGACAGGTTTACTAACAAATTCTTAGAAGTCTATTTCAAGTTCTCCCTTTGCAACTAACTCCAAGTCCTACTTAATTCTTAATCTCTCTTTTTATATACATATTTTATATACATATTTTAAAAACACAAATCAAATCCCAGTTATGTGACTTTGTCCATACTGAAGTTTGACTCTTCTCTTTCTTTTTATGCAAAATAGCGATGTCTTTAAGCTACTCTACAGAGTTATTGTGAGGATTAAATGGGAACACATAAAAGTAACGTCACATAAATGTTTTAAAAGAAGTGTATTTTTAACCACTGTAGGATCCTGAAGTACATCAACAACTGTATTTTATTTTCTAAAGAAGCCACTTCATATTTTCACATATATATCTGAAAAGTAAATATATTTGATTTATACATTTTAACAGATTTAATATCTACTGAAAATCCAATTTATGCATTACTTATATTTCTTTCCAATATCAGAAAATTTCAAACTGCTTTCCCAAACATTATCTATGTATATCTAACCACAGATTCTAAAATTATGCTCTATGTTGCCACCTATTGGTTGGTAGCATACTCTCCAGATATCTGCCCCCAATTTTTTAGGCAGTGGGTAGAGAGGGAAATTGTAATCAGCCTTAAATACAGCCTCAATACAGTGGCTATTTTTTTCAGATTGCAGTCCTTTTCAGACAGAATGCTCTAAATGTCTGCAAAGGGTTCCAAGCACATCCACTTTAAATGTAACAGAATGTAAATCATATACCTGGCAATTTAAATTTTCTAGGCTCTTTATCTTTTTTGTAACTAATGTTATGACTGTGTGTATGTGTGTGGAAAAAAAAAAGCCAGACAGTGAAGTGTTATGGAGAAAAACAGCATTCTCATGACTGGTTAAGTTGTCAAAAGAAAATATTCTTCTAATTAGAAAATCAACTAAAAATTGTAACTATAATGAGAATAATAAAGCAGTGGAAAACTCAATTACAAGAATACACTGTATCAACTATTGAACAAAGGGCTTTCCTCCAAATCCTAATCTGATAAAAAGGTAATTAATTGCTCCTCTTACTGTACCAAAACACCTATGAAATGATTTGCTCAAAAAAAGGTAAACAGTTAAAAAAGAACTTAAACCATGAATTTCAACTTCATAAGCAACTGCTTAATTTTCTGGTCTCTCTTTAAACCACACCAAATTTCAAGACATTTTCCTCAGTAATTCAATAAAAACATAACTTTTTGATGTAGTAAGCAAAAGAAGAACACTAAGCTGGCTTTCAGGTTATCAAACAACTTGTCTACACTGACAAACAGGTATAGTGGCTACCTGCAGGTATAAAAAAAGCAGCATAAAGACGGTTTACAGTCTTCAGAGATTGTCAAATACAAAAAGAAGTGAACAAAGGAAAGCAGAATATTACCTGACAAATAATTTGTATAGCTATAATATTTACAACAAGTGCATTTGAAATAGCAATAGGAGCAGAGGTATACCATCATAGGAAGGAAGGGGCTAAGAAGGATTTTTAATCAGTAAGAGAACAAAGATATATAATAACCTAGTCCAAATGATAAAAGCACATTGTAAAATACAAATGATCAGGTAAGTTTAGTTTATTCGGGGAAAACAACACCAACACTTACACATAAGACTAGTAGGGCAGCTTCTTAGAAAAAGGGGCCTGAACTATGGAGAGTGCAGAGGTACTGAGTATTAGGCTAATGAACTCAGAAGACATAAGAAAGTTACGGGAGAGTAAGTATATGGTAACTTTTCACACTATTTGGGAGGAAGAGGAGGTAGTTTGACCTCATAGCAGTGTTTTAAAACTAAGCATGTTATTTCAGTCGCTCAGGGATAATGAAAGTGGACTGAATTACAACGATGACTGTGGGGGGAAAAAAGGAATAAAATTCAATGAGGAAAGGACTGATAAGAAACTGGTTAATGATATGAAGTTAAATGTATATAAGGAAGAGGAAAGGATCAAAATGTTTCCAAAGTTTTAAAACAGGAAACAGAAGAACCATGAAAAGAAACCTAGTTAAATAAACCATCATTAACAAATATTTTAAACAGTTAAAATGTTTCTAAACCAAAGTTCTGCTTATGTTTAACACAAAGCAATAAACATAAACCAAAAGTACAACTTCTGCAAGTGAATATAAACAGCATTCATACTTAACTAGTATGAAGAAACATCTTATAGTAAAATATTTATAAACCTCAGCTCATAATAAATCTAATCAACTGTAACTATTTGATCCGGATCCACACTACTATTGTTTTTACACAAATGACTCCCATTACTTGAATTAACATACATTTCATATTTAAAATAAACACAACAGTTTGAGAACTAATTAACTCTTCTGCCTAGTGTACTATGTAAATAAAATGGTGCATGCTGGAATATATACTCCATGACAATATAAACTGAAAAATGGAGTCACTTCCTTTTTCTACAAGTCTTCCAACAAAATAATCAAATGTTGAGAAAGTGTTTTAAAATACCATACTAAACAAATTTCTTGGTTACCTTTACTTTATCTCTTCTCAAGCAACAAAAGAAACAATTTTCATCAAAAGTCCAATCAGAAATGCTTTCAGGTTCACAGGCTGCAAAAATAACAGGAATAATAAATTAAGTCAAAATTTTTCAGAGTGGATGAAAAACTAATTTTAAAAATATTATTTAACAGCAACAAGAACAAAATCCCCTTATTAAGTATTAGAGAAGTGCCTTATTTGTCTCAAAATTCGTAACAATAATGGCTCTCTCATATATTTGCATTACCAATTAAACACAAAGACAGCTTACATGGATATAGCTTTTAACCCACAAGAAACTGAATAGAGGAGACTGAGGGTTAAATCAAGGATGTGTGTTTGAGAGAAACCCAGAAGAATTGGAAATGCCCCCCCCCAAATTCTTTTGAATACCTTTAAATAAACTGAGATCTTTTAATAATGCAGGTCCAAACAGCCCTTCAAGAATACTTTCAAACCCTGAAAGGATGAAAAAAAGAAATTCATTATTATAATATTCCCTATAGTCATTTATGTTAATTTGTTACATGGAAAGATGATGGTGTTTTCTTCCACTTCTCAAGGATCCCCAGATTACTACTGAAGGGATGATGAGGAAAGAGTGTCAATGACAAAATTAGTCAGAGCTTTTGCATTTTTGCCAAAGATTAACAATGAATACAAATTCAGAGCACATTCAGAGCAATACAAAACTACAACACTAGGAATGGAAATTCACGGGTTCTCTTACCATCTTTCAAAATCCCAAATACTACCTTACATAAACTCTCCAACTACATTTTATTAAAAGGCACCTTAGCCAATGAAAGAATCAATCTTTCTTAATAATAATTTTCATAAAATTCTGGTTTGATCTAAATAGCATGTTTCTAAATATCAACCAAGATACAAAGTTTTCAAGGTAACAGTTTCTGAAGGAAAAGTTACTCACTGAGTACATTTCATCACTAAAGAAAAAAGTTATAGTATCTTAAAAACCTTTATAATAACTTCATTCTGACACAATTACTTACTGATTCATAAAGGAAGAATCCTTAGTTATACACTCCAAAAAAGGGAAAAAAATTTCAAATTTACCTATGCATAGATGTTTAAAATATTATCATCTTCTAACAACATGAAATAGAAAATGAAAAAACAACAACGCTTCTTAGATTTATTACCTCAAATACTGCTGAATCACCCTGGTGAAAAACAATTTAAAAATCTTTGCCATCTTGCTGTTTTCTATGGAAAATAATAGAGTAGAAAAAGAAAAAGAAGGGAATCAGATTATAACCTTACACAATACAGCATAAATAATGGATTAGGTTGGTGGTTCCCAAACAATGTATCATGGACCTCAATGTGAGCTCAAAATAGTTACAGGGAGTCCAAGAACCAGTAAGAAATTTAACTATGAACTTTCGAAGAATATGTTTTGTGCATCTGAAGTCCAGACTATCCCTCAAATATACAAGAAGGTCATTGTAATTAAAAAAACAAACAAACAAAAAAACCCATAAAGGTAGTTTCCTGAACCATGGGCAAGTTTTTCTGCTAAGAACACAGGGGTCTCTAGGACTGATGAGTGAAGTTTGATAATAACTTTTGCAACAAGTAAAAAGATAATTAAAAATCCATAAAGTGTTACTGAATTCCTAGTGGTTTGGGTCCATAAGTAGTTTGCCATACAATCTACTACCATCATCTGTGGATGGATATGGATATACACATCTATTCCAAAGGACAGTTTAAATAGCATAAGCCAGGTGGATACACAAGCACACACAGGTAGCACTTCCTTACCACAAACAGTTATCACCAAAAAAAGAGTAGATAATAGTTGTCCACAGGAAGTGTTTTACCTGGTTAGAACAGTAACACTAAGGAACTTCTTTGTCCCTGTCATTAAGACATAATTTTCTGTTAATCTGTAAAGTCTGGGTTGTCTTCTTTCTAATTAGAGTTGATTGTTTACACTATCTTCAAGATTTCTAGATTCAATGAATATGATGGAGCAATTGATTTTAGACTTTCCTTAGTTCCTTTCCCGCATCTTGAATTTGCAAAATAAATATTGTCATCACCAGCTTTTTTTTTTAAAAGATTTATGTATTTATTCATACAGAAATGGGGTATAGGCAGAGAGTGAGAGGATTCACCAGAGACAGAGTGGGGAGCAAAACAGGCAGATGAATGAAGTACACTGCTAAGGGGAGCAATGGGCAGGTCAGGAGAGGTCTGCTGCGCCATGTGGATCTCCTCCAGGGAAGGAGGGGATCGAACTCATGTAGAAGTGGCTTAAGCTGCTTAGTGCTGCAGCACCAGGGAGGGCCTACCAGCTTTTTGAAAAAAATAAATCCCAGTAAAAATAAAGCCTGCAAATTCTGAAGTCTTCCTACTCCCAAAAAGGAATTTTGATGTAACAAATTAATGAAAGCATTTCAGTATCTCCAAAGTACTGAGCACATACTGCAAAGAGCTAAAGGAGATTAGAAGTGGCTTTAATAACAAAAGACATATCTAACATGCTTTCACATGGGTTTATATAAAATTATAAAATTCCAAACTCGCATGCTAAACATAAATTGTTCAAGGGAAAAATGTAAATTTAATGAGAATGAAAAAAAAATTAGAAAATATAACATGAAAGAGTCAAAAAAAAATAAGGATTTCATATAGCCTGAAAGAATAAGAAAACAAAAACTTCATGAGTAACACAAAGGACACTCACAAAAACATCATCACAGATCAAAAAGCAGTGAAAGGGAAAAGTCCAAAAGGTTTCAAACAAGGGAAAAAAACCCTGGTCATAAATGCACACAACTAATTTTAACCACAACTAATTTTATTTAAAATAATTAATTGTAAACAAGTCATTCTGTTCTGTTCATATCTGCAACAATATATTAAACCTTACAAATATCATTGATTAGCTACTGTACACAGTTTGCTACCCTCTGTTAATGGAATATAATGCCACTCAGTTTTATTAATATTAAATATTGAATTTAGCAGTTGCATAGCAACAGGAAATGCCTCTTGTGCTATGCTTGACATTAACAAAAGGCAAATAAGAGAAGAACAAATGTATTCAAATTTATACCATGATCTCACAGAAAGGCATGAAGATCAATAACAAAATGCCATGGAAAATTACATATATACTGAAAAAGATAGCTATGTCATTGTGTTCAATTCCTAGGACTTTAAAAAGCACTTTATGTCAGTAGAAACTAAAAATTTTATTGGATAAGAACTACAAAAAAATGCCTATCCAACATCAGAACTGATCTCACAGCTATTCTTTTCTGAAACCTGCACTGTAGAATGTTCAGACTGTTTTAATGATGTCACTGTCACTATCTGTTCAGAAAAATTCCATTTTGCTTAAAAACTCAAATCCCAAATACCTACATTAACAACCAAAGCTACTGACCACAACCTACCTTTTGCAGCCATTCCAAAACTTTCCTTCTCACTTTCTGACAGCCTAGTAAGCTTGGTCTTCTAGTGCATCCAATGATCATTTCTACTCCTAACATTGTTCTCAAGTCTTTGCATCTCATTTCTGTCCAAACAAATTATCTTTATGACATTCTTCTGTGCTTTTCAACAAGTACATATTCCCTTATTCAGCAGACTTTAACTGATAAGTCTACAATCTCCATTGCAGCATTAAATAAAATGGTTCCTGCCCTTATGAACCTTTGGTTTCCAGTTTGCCATCCTCAGAATTCCTACTTTACTTCCCCATTTTATTAAGTGTCAATTACCTTATGTTTTCTCTGTTTTCTGTCAGGAGCAAAGCAATGTTCATGTAAGTATTCTGAAGACAAAATTGTCAGAGTATTGAATCTGCTTTGTTTTCACATATTTATTCCTTATCTTCTCAGAGAGTTGTACAGTTCTAGGAAAGACAGGATTGTCTTTCCATTTTCCAATCTAATCACATGGTTTTCAAAAAAAAAAAAAAGTGGGGACAGAAAACTTAAAATTTGTCATACAGTTCCCACTTCAATCTAAATCATAGTCATTTTGGTCTTTCTAAGCAAGAGGGGAAAGCCAAATTATGAAGCCACAAGTTAGAAATACATCAAAATACACAATAAGCTAGACTGTACTACTGACCACAATTTTTTTTGAGGTGATGAAAACAGAACATCAGAATTTAATGATTGTTGTACAACTCTGTAATAAAAGAGTGAATTGTATATTAGAAAAAGAGGTGCTTTATAGGAGATATAAAGCTGTTAACAAAGCAAGTAACCTATGCATATTTGGTAAACATTCACAAACTTCTAAGAAAATGTGGTTTATTGTAGAGCTAGCTCTGTAATTCCAATTTAAAAATGTAAAAAGAGGCCCTCCCTGGTGGCGCAGCAGGTTAAAGCACAGCACTAAGAAGCTAAAGCCACTTCTGGATGAGTTCGATTCCCACCTGCCCCGGAGGTGACCACATGACGTGGCAGACCTCTCCTGACCCGCCCGCTGCTCCCCTCAGCAGTGTACTTCGTCGATCTGCCTGTTCTGCTCCCCACTCTGTCTCTGAAGCCTCTTGCTGCCCCTGAGCCTCTGGCCTGTACCCCAGTTCTGTATGCAAAAATAAATAAATCTTTAAAAAAAGAATGTAAAAAGAAACAGTTGATTTGACTTGTGGTTTTAAGTTGAAATTGCACTAGGTAACTTATACACATTTCTGTTACCATACCTATACTGGCGGCTTTACAATCTCTTACCTCTTGCCCCAGACCTTAATTCTATTTTCTTGCTGCCTACCATCACTAAAGTACCACAAACACCTCAAAAAGTTCAACTCAAAATCCTTTTAACTCCTTTTCCTTCAACTTAACTAGTGACTCTTTCAAAATTCCTTACCAGGAAAATGGCATCACACTAATTCCTTCCTCCTAAGATAGGATTCAAATCTCAGTCATGACTACTCTGCCCCTAAAGTCAGTCACAAAATCTGCCAGTCATGGAACAGTATTTATTCTTCAGAAAGACCCATCCAAATCATTTTACTTCCCTTCATCATTTAAGCAATCACACTACATGTCATTCATGTTGATATAGTAGCAGCTACCATTAACTGATTATCAACAAGCACTCTACCAGGTATTTCATACCTATCACAACAAAATCTTCAGATCAACACTGTAAACAGGTATTATTACTGCTTAGTTCAAATAAAACTGAAAATCAAAATACCTAATTTTTAATCCTATGTCTAGCCTAAGGCTTATGATTCTAAAGCAGGATCTTTAATTGGTTCACAATGACTACTAATAACAATTCTTAACATTTAACTTATTTTTCAGTTTTAACATTGTTGTAACACCACCAATAACCCCCCCACCCTAAAAGCCATCCTTCATGCTACTGTTAAACACTTCCTTTTGGTTTTAAAAATCTGTGAAAGCTTTCCACTGAAAATATTAAAGAGTTCCAATTCATAGATGATATGATGAGATCAA